CCCCTCCACGCCCCCAAAAGCTGTATGTAAAAGCTCCAAACCCGCACAGAAAGATTGTTTGCACTTCTATAATCTTTTTCTAACTATACACTTAAGTAACCTCTTCCTGCAAGTTTGGGGATTCTGTCTCCCTGGGTTTACTGAAATGTGATTTCACTGCTATTGCTGTTTCCCGTTGCTGACAATACTGTGAACTCTCTCCAAGAAGACAAATGCTTTTTCATGCCCAATAAGTCAGCAGCAAGGAGAGACTCACTACAGTGAAGAGAGGCATAAAATGAGATAAAGAACATGTTTGCTAGTGTGTGAAATTGGTGGACTAATTTCCAATTATTTATCCTCCACACATACAGAAGCAGAAAAAGAGAAGAAAAGAATTCTATAATCAGAGAATCACAGAATGTTGTGGGTTGGAAGGGACCTTAAAGATCATCCAGTCCCACCCCCTGCCATGGGCAGGGACACCTTCCACTAAACCATGTTGCTCCAAGCCCCATCCAACTTCCAGGGATGGGGCATCCACAACTTCTCTAGGCAACCTGTGCCAGAGTCTCACTAACCTCACAGTAAAGAATATTTTTCTAATATCTAATTTAAAACTACTCTCAGTTTGAATATTGTGCAGTCTCTCTATTTTGCCCTACACAATGGACAAAAAACGAGCAGTTACTCTGACACAGCCTAAAAATTCTCTTAGAAATTAGAGGCTACTTTTCATATTTGGATCATACCCTTCGTTTCCCCATCTGACACTTAAAACAGCTCCTCCTGACTTGCAGCGAAGTGCAACATGTCAGAGTAAAATCACAAAGCTCCTCTTGTCCTTCTTGTTCTTGCTTACAGACCTGCAGCACTAAAGGGTGCACTTTCATCTCACTCTCAGTCCGTTCTAAACAGGGATTGCTTCTGCAAGGAGCAGCCGGTGTCTCCTCCATCCCTAAGGAAGGACTGGCTCAGAGCAACAAACCATGGGATTGCACAGCCAAGGGATGCAAGTGAGAGGGCAGGAATATGCACTGGCTGTGAGCTCTCCTGGTTCTTCCCGAAACACTTAATGAAGATTAAATCACAATTTGACAAAATACTTGTCCTGGCCTCAATGTCTTAGCTGAAAGGTGTGTAACTCACCCTCCAAACTGCTGTGAACTAAATCAAACTATCAGAAAGTTTAAAAGTTTAAAAATACTTTTCACTAAGGAGTTCTTCTGCTTCCATTCCTTTGAGCTTTGTAACGTCAACCTTTCTGGTGGGACAAAACCAAAAGGCTTGATGGCCATATAATTCAAAAACCTACAGAAACATCATCCCCAGAAATATTTCATATGATTTTTTTGGTAAGAGATGCATGAAGTCAAGAATTTGAAGGCGAGATGTACACCAAATGTGTACACTTGTACTCTTTCTACAGGTAGACTTTATTATTTTGTTGGTAATGCTGAGATATCAAATGGAATAATATTCATAACAGTTATTCCTTTACTATTCCTTTACCCTTTTCCTTTGTTTAACTGGCCTAATTCAGAATAAATCTTGTCTACAGACTGCTTTTAATTTTGCTGGTATAGTCAAAGTGACAACCCCCTAATCGTGGGCATATTTCTATAACTATAATGTGGCTTTTTACAGGCATATTTTAGATAGGAAGAGAAGCCAATTATACCCATATAAGGTACTTTTTTATCAACAGAATTGTATTTACACAAAGGTTTCTTTAAAAAAAACAAGATCTGAAGGGGGAGAGGTCATACATTTAATCTGAAAAATGCAGAACTAATACAAAAAGTGAGCCTAAAAAATTGCCAAGTGAGAAAGTTATGGTTCAGGGAATGCAGGTATCTTCCTCCCACTGAAGGGATCCAAAGAAAATGTCATTCCGCCATCACCAATTATGGGCAAGATACTGGGAAGACAGTACAGGAAACTGGAAAAGGGGAAAGACAGCAGCAATTTTACCTGAATTTTACATGAGATTTACAAGGTCATCATTGCTGAGAATGAACTGCAACCTAAAGATCGCTCACACTGTTCAGTGTTGGGGTAGGATAAACCAGGGATAAGGAGGTTAATGCTCCAGGACAAAATATTTAATCAGTTCCCAAAGAATGCAATTTAATTGTAAACAAATTGCTATCAAAGGACAAGTTTTGCAGCAGTTTTTTTGAAATTATTTGCCCAAAGGATTTTTCAGGCCTTTTCATCACAGACTATATGGAAAGAATTTGCACAAGACGTGGTGTATCACTAAGTACAAGAGGGAAAAACCCCCTCAACAAATCAGGACTAGGTGATTTTGAAACTTTCCTGGTTTTTGGTGGGCTGCAAAATGGTGGTGTTGTTGTTGGTACAATGAGCTTAGGGAGGTCAAAGAGTTGCTCAACACATTCTTTTCTTGTCCATAAAATATGCCTGAAGTATTCCAGAACAGTATAATACATAAAGCAGCCAATAAGCAAAGACAACAGATGATTTTTTAAATTTATTTCACTGCTGAATGAAAGAAAATATAAGAGAACTGCTGTCTTTAATATTATCATTAAGGGAAATAAAAAGGAAATATTACAGAACAAACACTAATACTAAATTATAACTATTTTGGGAATGAAACCCCCTCTGCACAGAACATCGTTTTTAAAGCAGCGTTTCCACTTGCAAAGAAGGATTTTGCTGCTTCTGAAGGCTGTTCTTCCCTTCTGGGGATCTCAGTTGATTAAATGCAACAGACCCCATTACAAAAGAGCTCACTTGCTCAGAAGTTTAACGACAGCTGAAATAGTTGCAACTGCAGCGTGTGACTCGGAGCGTGGCTCCTCCCAGCGCAAGACAAACCATGTGCCGGTTACAGCCCAACTTCCTCTCCCCAGCTCCTCCTTCCTCTCCCGGGTGAGTCTACGCTTGTTTATTATCACTGTTGGGCAGATAAAATGAATTTCAAAACCCTGAAAGCTGTAATGGGAAATTACTTATTTTTTTTTAACAGTAACTGCTTCACAGCTCCTGCAGTTCAAACCAAAACAACTTCAGTACAGTAAGAAAGCTCAAGGCTTTACGTGAAGTTGTCCTGTTAAACCCAAAGGTTGGCCTGCCCATTACTAATTCTAAGGAAAGTGTGGTCAGCACTAACTATTTAATTCTCTGTGTACAAGTTTTCTCTAGCAGCACACACAAAAAAATCCCCCCATGAGCTCATAAAACCTAATTTCTTAATAATACCCAGCTTCTGGTGATGCAGAGGGTTCTCAGTGTGAGATGTTGAATCTGAGTCAGCTGGCAGAGCATCACCCTGGCACTTGGAACCTACACAGCAGGAACAGGAGGCACAAATGTTCACATTTATCACTAAATGTACAGCACAAAGAGGACTTCAAGAACTTCTTAAAAGCTACTGCCTCTTTTTATATTAAATAAGAGGGATAATATGTGCTAGAGGATAAGTTACTTTAAGCCTTAAAAAACCCCACTCAACTCATTATGACTTTAATCCTGTTCTGGATCACAAGGAAATGCTGAAATCAGCAAGAGCAGCACTGAGGGCACAAGACACTCACTCTCAACTCCAATCCCCAAGAGTTATCTTGGCTCCAGCAGAGTCAGGGGAGCTCCCAGCTGGAGAAATCACTGAGAAATCCTGGCCTGGCACCCACTGTTGCAGCTGAAAACTTTAAAGGTTTGTAATTTGTGACATCTCCCTGCAAGTCCCTACTGAGGGACTACATGTAAATGACAGTTCTTTAAACGTTCACAATCCAGTCAGGGTGGGTGGACTTTCCACGGGTGAACAAAGTGTTCTTATGAGATTTACAAGTGTAGAACATGTGGGTGAAACACAATTCTGAGAGAAAGGGATGTCGGATCCCCTTTCACCCGAAGGATGGCCACGTAATTTGTTGGGGTTTTTTTTGCAAACAAGGTTTATAAAAACTGTTGCTTAAATTCGCTCAAAACTTCCCCTCAAGAAGATCAGCATAATGCTGGTGGAAAATTTTAGTCAGAGCAGTCAGTGTGAGCAAAGTCACAACAGAACACAACAACTGTCTGTGTTCAGGCAATACACACATAAAGTGGTACTAGATTTACTTGTAGTACGTATTTACTACTCGTGATTTAATATCAAAAGTATGTATTTACCACCCCTGATTTAATATTCCTGTACAAAAATACACTCAAAAAAAATCTATTTTCATATTAATTTATCTGAGGATAAAAAGATTAATTATAATTTAACTGAAAGATCTTCAGTGTATTCACAAAAAGTCATGAGATTGTGTAATTCATCACAGTCTCTTCTTATATGTACAGCCCACCCATATTTCCACTGTGAGTCCAAGTGCAAAAAAAATTGAGCTATTAAAGCAAGTGCTATTTAATTATTAAGATGAGCTTACTCGGCACATAATGACATTCCACAATATTTCCTGTATCCTAATAACTCCTTTAAATTACGTTCTTGTGCCATTCCTTTGCATGAGCTGCATCCAATCTGGATATAATGTCAGCATAGACTTTAGGGAGGATTACAGTAAAGTTCTCTCTGACAGCTGTGACCACATAAAACACCTTCCAAGGTTTTCTGCAAAGGCACAGCACAGCACTAAGGGTTCCTCCACCTGGCTATGAAATGTACTTCATCCTGATGAATAAACCAGCCCAACAGCGCTCGGACTAGCAAAGCTACCCTTTGTCTACAAAATCACAGGATGGGTCAGGTTGGAAGGGACCACAGAGGGTAATCTGGTCCAACTTCCCTGCTGAAGCAGGGTCATCCCAGAATACACAGCACAGGATTGTGTCCAGACAGTTCTGGAATATCTCCTCTGAGGGGGACTCCACAGCTTCTCTGGTCTCTGTTCTAGTGAAGTTCTTCCTCACGTTTAGGTGGAAATTTTGTGCATCAGTTCATGCCCGTTGCCTCCTGTCCCATTGCTGGGCACCCCCGACCAGAGCCTGATCCATCCTCTGCCCCCTCCCTGCAGACACTTATACCTATTAACGAGGTTTAGTACCTGCCTGTACATACACTCCGCAGGCACCTCGCTGGGGGAGGATGAAATGTGCTCTCCCTTCCAGACACACCGGGGAGCAGCCATGTCACCGAGGCACAGCCTTTCCCATGTTTCAGAGTTCGGATCGGAGCCGGGGCGGAGGGGGAAGCGGCGGGACCTTCAGTCCCTCACACCCCTCGGGCAGGCGGTCGCTTGCACCCCTCAGGCGGCCGCTTCTTCACGCCACCGCTCCCTGGTGTCCATCGGCGGTCCCTGCTGTCCCTCACACCACCTGGTGTCCCTCACACACACCACAGGCCCCTGATATCCCTCACAACCGCGACCGACGCCACACACCGCCGGTCTCTGGAGTCCCTGACAGCACCACGGGTCCCTGGTGTCCCTCACAGACACCACCGATCCCACACATCGCCGGTCCCTGGTGTCCCTCACACCACCTGGTGCCTCTCACAACCACCGGTCCCTGCTGTTCCTCACGCACACCACAGGTCACCGATATCCCTCGCACCACCGCCCCTCACTCCCCTCAGGCGGCTGAGCCCTCCCGCCCGTGGCGGCGGGTAACGCGCTCCCGAAGCGCCCCCGCGGAGGGAGCGCCGAGACCGCGCGTCCCTTCCCAGCCTTCTCCCCGCTCCCGACCCGCCCCTACCCTTTCTCCTCCTCTCCCTCCCTCCCTCCCTCCTGGCTCATGCGCCCTCCGCCCCAGGCGGGGCGGGCGATGTGGCGGCGGCCGCGGGGGCACCGCCCGCCCGCTCCGAGCGCCTGCGCCGAGCCCCGGGCGAAGGAGGGGGGAAGAGTTTCGTAACCGGCGCATGCGCCCGGGAGCCGCATCCCCGCTCGGCGGAGGAGGAGGAAGGAGGGGGGGGAAGGAGGTTAAAAAAAAAAAAAAACCACCTCAGAGTTACGTCAGGAAAAGACGGATTTGTGCGGCGGGGAGACCCGCGCCGCGCGGGCAGCCCCCCGGGACGGGCGCGACACGCGGGGCCGCTACTCACCCTGTCCGCTTCCCCTCCCCGCTCGCCCCCCTCCGGGGCGCCTCCTCTCAGGGCTCGGCCCGCGCTGCCGCCGCCGCCGCCGTGATTCCATCCATCTTGAATTTGACGTCATCCCACAACCGAGGGATGAGGTCATCGCGGGGAGCGCTCGTCACGTGCGCGGCGCCGCGATTGGCCGGGCCCGGGTGGGGGGGGAGCGGGGGGCGAGGGGGCGGCGCGGCGGGGGGGGGGGGGGGGGGGGGGGGGGGGGAGGGGGGGCGGGGTCGGGATGGGGATGCGGATCCCCCCCCGCCCGCCGTGCTTACACCGCGGGCGGAACGCGCCCCAACCGCCTCCCTCAGCCCGTCCCGCGGGAGGGAAACTGAGGCAGCAGCCGCGGGAGGAGGGGGTGAAGGGGGGTGCGATCCGGACAAAGGGCAGGTCCCTGCCGTGTGTCCCCCGCCGGTGACAGTGGCACTGGGATTCGGGAGGTGCCGCTGTGGTGAAACCCGCACCCCTTCCCGGGCCTGGGCACCGCGTGGGGGGGAACCAGCGGGCAGCGTCAGTTTGCAATTCACCTAATTTAATCGTCTGGTGGGTTTTTGTTTGTTTGTTTGTTTGTTTGGGGTTTTTTTTGGGTTTTTAGTATTAACTTTAGTCTTACGGTTTTTTTTTTAAAGTGTAAGGTGAAGATCCAGCGTCGTTTGGAAAGAAGCCCCAGGTCTAAGTGGCACATGTGGTGTCCTCATAAGCCACCCCCTCCCGCCCCGTTCCCCCTGAAAGTCACCCACCGACCTCCTCAAGCCGCTCACAGACCCCCTCGCAAGCCAGTCTCCTGTCCCCCTCACAAGACACCGATCAAACCCTTCACAAGGCACCCATCGAATCCTTCATAAGCCACCCACTGTCCCTCTCACAAGTTGCCCCCCTGTCCCCCTCACAAGTCACCCACTGTCCCCCTCACAAGTCGCCCCTCTGTCCCCCTCACAAGTCACCCACTGTCCCCCTCAGAAGCTGCCCATTGAGCCCCTCACAAGCCACTCCCAACCCCCTTGCAAGTCACCCAATGTCCCCTTCACAAGTCAACCACTGTTCCCCTCCCAAGCTGTCCCCCTCACAAGTCACCCACCGTCCTCCTTGCAAACCAGCCCACCATCCTTTACAAGCCACCCGTTGAACCCCTCACAAGCCACCAGCATCCCCCTCACAAGCCACCCATCGTCCCTGTCACAAGCCACCCACTGTCCTCCTTGCAAACCAGCCACTGTCCACCTCACAAGCCACCCACTGTCCCCCTTACAAGCCACTCACCATCCCTGTCACAAGCACCCCCTGTCCCCCTCAAAAGTTGCCCATTGAGCTGCTCACAAGCCCCCCCATCCTCCTTGCAATCTCCCACCGTCCCACTCACAAGTCACCCACCAACTCCCTCAGGCCACCCAGCAACCCCCTTGCAAACCAGCCACTGTCCCCCTCACAAGTCACCCACCATCCCTCACAAGCCAGCCTCCTGTCCCCAACATTCCCCTGACAAACAGCCCCCCATTCCCTCACAAGGCACCCACTGTGCCCCTCATAAGCCAGCCCACCCCCCTCCATTATCATCTGGGAGGCACCTGCCCAGATCCTGGTGGGTTTTGGCTCAGACCCTCTGTAACTACTGTACTCACTCATCTCGATGAGATTTGAAAAATTATAATGGCCATTATCATTGCTTTAGGCTGGCTTCTCGTTGTACTTATCCGCTTTGAATTAAGTACCTGAATAGGGCTTTGTGCGTCAAAATACTACTATTAAAATAGAAGTTAGAATTACAAGATTTCTCTTGTTTTTGTTGAAAGCTAATCTGGCATGTTATCTTTTCATTAAGGACAGCTCTAGAGATTAACATCTAATCCCACACATGTTTTCAGTGTGCTTTTAGATATCCCACCTAAGTCACAAATACTCCAGAGCAGCTACTAGAATCCCAGCAATGTGTTTAATGATGTTTTTAAACCTTTTTTGGCAACGATTTTTTGCAAATGGGCTAAAGCCCGAGTAAGAAAAATGGCGATGTACCTCACTGGGTCCAGCTCCCCTTTCCCCTCTCCAGCTAATTTTGTTTTTTTTTTTTGGTCATTGCAGTCTCTTTTGGTGGTTTTGGAAACTTGGGAAGCTTCCTGTGAAAGGAGTGGGTTTTTTCACCCATCGTCTTGTGCCCTGACGTGAGTGTGGCTGTGTGATGAGCCAGAAGGAAAACCGAGCACGCTGCTTGGTGTCATCTGGAAAAATTCCCTGCTCTGGTTTGCCAGACGAGTGTGTAGACAACTGCTCTGGCACAAGGACCTGCTGTGGTGATGGGAACAAACAACTGGGAAAGCAGTTGCATCTGTTCCCATAAACCAGTTTGTGCAGTGACGCTGGCTGTGCTGCCAGGGAAAGATTTGGGAAACCAACCTAAGCATGGAAATCTAGCAGAGCCCTGTTAACTTTTTTTTTTTTTAATGTGTACTCAGTTATTTCTCAGCCAAGCAGAAACAAACTGATCTTGCATAATTTCTCATCCATGCTTCTCCAAAAGGGCCTGTGGCACAGAGGGAGGATCTCCGTGCTGGAATTACCTTGCCAAAAAAATTGTGTTCTTTAAGGTGTGTACACACACCTGTGTGTAAGTTTGTCTTGCTGTGCAGGTATTTATCAATATTTTTAATTTGTCAGGTTCCCAAGTGAAAGTGCAGCCACTAGAACAGAGCCCATGTAGTGGCTTGTATAATTCTGTTGGAGCGAGTCCAGAGGAGGCCACGAGGTTGATAAGAGGACTGGAGCACCTCCCCTATGAAGACAGGCTGAGAAAGCTGGGGCTGCTCAGCCTGGAGAAGAGAAGGTTGTGTGGAGACCTCAGAGCAACCTTCCAGTTTCTGAAGGGGCTACAGGAAAGCTGGAGAGGGACTCTTCATCAGCAACTGTAGTGACAGAACAAGGGGGAATGGGTACAAACTGAAAGAGGGAAAATTTAGGATAGATATTAGGAAGAAATTCTTTGCTGGATACAGCAAAGATACTGGAACAGGTTGCCCAGGGGGGTTGTGGATGCCCCAACGCTGGAAGTGTTCAAGGCCAGATTGGATAAGGCCTTGAGTAAAATGGTCTAGTGGAAGGTGTTCCTGCCCATGGCAGGGGAGCTGGGACTAGATGATCTTTAAGGTCCCTTCCAACCCAAACCATTATCTGGTTCTCTGATTCTCTGTAGTTCTTACCTTAAACAGATGATTTGAGAAAATTTTGAATGTAATTCTCCAAGATTTTGTGATTCAAAAGGGCATAAGACTCAATCTGACTGCGTTTCATGATCAAGTCTGATTGACTTGTTATTAAAGTTTATGGATGCCTTATTTCCCTGTAGATCATATTTTTCTTGATTCTAATAAAATCTGGGCAAAGAATCCAGTTCTGTAGAAATATTTGGGGTTTAAGTTGTCTCTAAGTAGGATAGGTTTGTCAAAGGTACCACTCACAATTATTTGAATACAGTATTGTTCTTCAAGAATAGCTTGTTTATGAACACTTTTTCCAACATTTCTAATTTTAGGTGCTTTGATGGAGGGCTTAGTTTGGTGCATTTTTCATCCATATGTGTGTGGTTGCAGCTGTTATTACCAGATGCATGTTTGTTCAGTGTAAGGTTTGTTTTCCATTCTGAGTATCCAGTAACTACTCAGATTAACTTTTGATCATACTTGCCAACAAGCTTAATCACTGGAATTTTGTTAAAAACTGAGACCCTGCAAAGAATAGAATGCGAAGCAAACTATTAAAAAAAAAAAGGGTGATTATACATGGACTTTGTGAGAAATTTGCATGTAAAAACTAAAACACTTGCATGGGTTATACATGTAAGTATGAGAATTACTATCTTTTGTAGTGTAAATATTGCCCCAAAGGGCAAAGTTTGGTACTCTGAATAGTTCAGCTTTTTTAATGATAACATTTGTTTCACTTTCAATATAAAAATAGTTGGAATAAAATCATATCCTGGAGCTAGTCTGTCATTTTTTAGATCCATAGTTTCAGCCCTTTTTTGATGTAGAGACCCTACATTTTTTTTCAGTGAAGACCTTGTGTGATTAATTTAAATCTAATGACATCAGCTTATTTTCTTTTAGAGAGCCTTAGAAGTATCTCAGATGCCCTTAGGCAGTCCTATGTTAGCAGCTGAGAAACATTTTTGCAAAGAAGAGCATGGTTTTGAGGAAGGGGAGACACTAAAGAAAGAACAACACACCTCTGAAATTGCTTCATTGCAGTGGGGGAACATTGACAGAGATGTTAAAATTATGATCTTGGTACATTTTATTCAAGTTTTCTGTCCATATGGAGAGGTCTGTTCTGTACTTTGGTAGCCTTATGATTTCCCACTGCAGGATTCTTCCTCCTAGGCAGCGTGGCTTTTCCAACTCCAAAGTTCTCCTGTAGCTGCTGTAAAAGCAGGAACACACCACCCCAGGGAGAGGGTTATGCCTTCCTTGTTTCCTACCAGAACCTCTAGAACTATTATTGCCAAGGACATATTGCAGAGGGAGGTAATTAGTCTCTCAGAAACTGCCTCCTTGCTCAGCTGGCCCTGAAAATCTTATCAGTGGAGCAAATGCTAATGCTGAGGAGCACATTGTGGCTGTGATCCTGTTCCTTCAGATACCAGCTTCTATTCCAGAACTTCTGGGATGTGGAGCACTGGGATCATAGGGGACACTTGAATGAACCCATTCCTTTCATCCACTGTTGAGTGCAGCAGATGTTTCTCGGAACTCCAGAGCTCTAAGCTTTACTGATTCCAAATATTCTGCCAAAACTTAACAACTTGCCAAAATACAAGCAACAGAATTTTCTACCATCTCCTCACTGCTGACAGCTGTGCATGGAAAAGGGTGCCTGAATTTTTACGTTTTTTTTTTCCTTTTTTTTTCTATTTCTAATATATTCATATGACACCTCCCATAACAAATTCTAGCAGGTAAAAAGGAATTTTACTTTTTCTAGTTGAAAAGTCTCACTTGGCACAAAAGTATGGGCACTTCTCAGTATTCAGAGAGACAACCAGGCAGTGAGATAAACATTGAGAATATTACAAAAGTAACAGTGTTTCCATTACTGATGTGGTGCAAGGTAAACAGACAAGACTCTTCCTGAAGATTTACATTTCTTACCAGGGAAATAACTATAAAACAATCAAATGTAAAACTGTCTTCATTCCTGGTATTGCAGTTTCTGAGTGCCAAGTCTTGTGCTTTTTTAGCTGTCACCCTCATTCTTCTGCAAATAGCACAATCTAGTTAATATTTTCCACTTGGAGTTCACATGCAACAGCTCAAACAGTTTCAGATAAATGCTGCAAGACAGAGACAAGCTGCATGGTAATATTAATCCAGCAAACTGTTAAGTATTAGTAAACACATACCTACTTAAAAAGGTGATTGTTCCACAGGTCAGGCAGTGACTCAGAGAAAAATACTACAGGTATTCAGGTGTATGTTCTCTAAGTGGTTCAGATGGTCATGGTTACCATGTTTTTTATTTACAAAAACAATATATCTTCATTTGCAAATAATGAAGGATTTCAAATTCGTGTATACTTCTAAAAAGCAACGTTGATAAAAAGCTGCAGGAGCAACTGAAATAGAAAATCTGTCCCAGTGCAGCAGACAGGGTTAAATTCCATGTTAGCAGTTTTCACAGCTCTGCGTAACTTCAGCTGGAGTTTGGTGTCTGTGCCTTCTAAAATTAAAATCCCGAGTATTCTGATTACAGTGGAAGTGTGTAAGAATATTAAAAAGTGGCTTTGGTTTCCTAGTTACAAGTGTGTTCATCCCAGCTCATTATTTTAGACAAATAGCATGTGAAGAAATTCAGGATGAAGCAAACGGAGAGATGGATGATATGGGAAGCATTTTCAATAATTCTGTCCAGACAATAAGTCTAAGTAAGGAAAAGCAAAGAAAACTGAAGTGTCTGGTGCTTGTTATGAAATAAAGGGAAGCTCATGCTTTTGTTCATGTTCAGCAAAGTTTATTTTCAGGAAGAATAAATGGAATGATACTGCAAAATTTTGCCTTAGTACAATAATTCTGTTTATTGTCCTGTTTTCCTGTAAATGTGGCTTGAAGGATCAAGTTTCTCAATAGAAAGCAGGGCTACAGCATCAGTTCTTTAGAATTTTATATAAGTAAATCAGGGAGAGCACCAAAGAACTATTAGTGCTATGGTATATTTTAAAAGTGAGCTTGATGTTTTAATTCCTCAGTGTCAGTCAGGCAGTTTGGCCTCAGAAAACAATCTTCTGGGGTTGGACATTACACAGAGATGGACAGCAATTTACAGAGTTGCAGCAAGATCATTTGTGTTTGTGCATTGCTAAGATGCTGGAGAAATGTGGTGTACATTGAGTAGATTATTTTTCTTTTCAGTAATTGTATCCAAACGTTAGAGATGATTTGTGGTAAGTTCTCATCAAGTAAAAAGTACAAAAGTTAGGAAGTAAATCTATTGGCTTCCTGAAAAAAATGGTGTCTGAGTTTCTTTGTTTCACCAAATAGTGCCAGAAGTGTTTGGTTTTAGATGGTATTTTTTGGGTTGTGCATGTACTATACCCAAGGGTGCTGTTGTGTCACCAGGTCATTTCATTTATGATGTTAACATGCTGGTTCTGAGGCCACAAAATGTGCATGTCGAGGAGAGGTTGCAATTTATAACAACTTTAAACTTATTCTCGTGCCTTTCTGTGCACTCCAAAGACGTGACCACAACGTGCTTCCAGGCAGTGAGCACAGAAGTTCTGCCCTGTGACAACTGAGGGTCAGCTTTGTGCCTCTGTGGCCTGTGCAGTCTTACAGATGTCACATCTGCACTGATTTATTCATTACTGAGTGGAAAGCTCAAGTGGCGGACCAAAAATAACCAAGATACCAAATTAGTGATGTCTTTATGTTCAGCCTACTGACTGAATTTATTGTCGATTCTGTGCTGTGAAATCACATTCTTTGCATGACGAGTTCAGACCCAAAACAAAATGGGGATTTATTTAGTAGATGTTGCTCTGCAGTTCCGAAGGACAGAAACAGAGCACTGGAAGAGGCCTTTTCGCCTGACCTGCTTTGCTGTCAATTTAACGCTCTTCCCCCCCCCAGTTCCCTGTGGCAGTTCATTATATTGGAGCCAGTGATACATGGACATGAGAGAGGCCGATTTCCTCTCCAGCACCAGCGTCCTGCTGGGAGCTGGGAGCAGCTTCAATGTGTTATATTCCAGGGATTTGAATGCTGAATGTGAAGAGGAAAAATTTGGCCGTGGCGTTACACAGTCGGCTTCTCCTCTCTCAATTACACAAATGTTACTCTCTCCAATGTAATTGTCTTAGTTGTGTTCACAGAGGTCATAGTTCTAGATCACATGTGACCAGTGTAGCTAGAATAGGTCCTGGAGAGCCCCAGGACAAGTGTTTCTGTTTGAAAACAGCCCTGATGGTAAAATCGCACGCATAAGCTGCACTGTTTTGTTTACCAGACTCCTCATGGTCTGATGACTTCTTACAGCATCTCCCTTGGTCTTGTTATGGACCTTCTTGGGGGAAAAAAACCCCACTACCTGAAAAACA